GTAGAATGGACAGTAACCTTACAACCCTTTCCAATGTAATAATCTACAATACGCTACAAAGGAACGAGCAAATAGAGTAGAGTGTAACAAACAAGTGGCAATTTACAACATTGTCGCTGCAACAGGTAGCACAAGTGTAAATATGTGGCGACAGCAAAACACACAAACACCGTATGACTGATATACATGTACGACATCAGCAAACAACGGCTTAAAATTGATTAAACAACAAGATCAGCAAACAGCGACATAAAGCATTAGGCCCTGCTTCCCAGCTGCCAGGATCGCTTTGGCTGAATTTCATTATAATATCTTTGAGAGAAAACAGCGGTCCGACCCACAAATTTTGACAACACACGTAACACTGCCACAACGCTGTGGTATAGCATCATATATTTCGTTCCTGTGTTTTCTGTCCGCCATTTCACATGCTGCAAAAGACCAACAACAACCATTCTCAACCCCATGATTTGCCTATCAAAATGTGGGAAATTGCATTTTTAAAGGCTTGAACATTTAAAAAAAATGCCCCCAGACCCCCCTAGACTGTGACAGTGAGTGACCCTCCCCCCAGGCCCAATCATGAACCTGTGCTGACGGGAAAAAAATCGAGCAGGCTAGAGACCTGTATTCTGCATTCAGATCGTTCACAAAAATGGGGAAAAGCTATCATTCTATTTAATATCGTAGTATGCAAATGACGCAAGACATTGAAACTGATACAGCTGCTTAGCTGTTTGGCATCATGACGACAGAAAAAAACGATAAGACCATAATACCAAAATAAGGAAATACTAGTACATGTAATATACACAGTGTACTGTACACGTAGGTAACATGATACAAACGTGCGACGATGTTATATAATATTCATTTCAACCGAGCGACAATGAATCCGTGGTATGGGAAAGGCTATTATGGGTTCATTGTCATGTTTTCGGAAACAGAAATCTAGGAAAAATCTCATAAATGTAACATTATTACGTCTCAAAAATGTATGTGACGTCGTGCCGTTCACACACTATGCATAGAATGATCGGCCATTTTTCAGCCGCGCACGTAGCGATATAAGCTAGCAGCAACGCATATTTTCAATTCAATTCATACGGTTCTTTAGATTATACCTTTCCAGCGCCATCTGGTTTTACCAAACGCTATGTATCGTATCCCTTTCACAGTGTAGTCTGAGCAAAATCCCCAGTATTTTCGAAGACGTGACTGCGTCTTGTGTTATTGTTGGCCGTTCGGTGGGTTTTAAATCACCAGGTGGTCAGACTGAAGTGATGGTTTGGGGTGTGAAGGGGGTTTTCGCGAATGAGTGATTATGTGGCACAGGGCAAGTGGTTTTTAGTGGTGTATGCGTTACAGAATACTAGTAATCTCCAAGCAGATTCTGTTGGGGCAAGGGGAGCCTGTATTGACCTCCTGTATTAAACCATGGCATTGGCCGCCCTACGAATAGTTATAGGAGGCCACTGCAGTGCATACAGGCACAGGCGACCAATACACAGATTCCCCTTGCCCACAGAATCTGAGAATATGCTTGGAGATTTTTACAGAATAAACGAGGGAGAGAACCATATAGACTCCACCAGGCCTTCTTATAAGGGGTTATGGATTGTTAGATTTGGCAAAAAATAAAAGGCTATAGGGCAAATTATTTGCCAGAAGAGTGAGCATTGTCCATATAACTGCGTAGGCAAATGAAAGGCAGAAACCCCAAGGGTGACCAAACTCCCCTGGCGAATTATTCTCTTTTAATACTTGGCTAAATCTTCTAATTGTTGAGAAGTGGTTGTGTTAAAGTCTGGAGGATATCGGGCCCACATACCCGTTCCAGGTCATTGCGACCTCTAGAGGGGTAAAGTTATATCATCGTGGAAAGGCAGAAAAAAACAACAACATTGCAAAATTCATGATGTCGCCTATTATAAACCCGTGGTCCCTGCTGCTAGGTTTTAATATCAAACAGACGTCGTGACGCCATGTTTTCGCACAAAACCTGCCTGCGTGTTGTCGCCTATTTCCTGAAGTAGGGGTTTATATGGTACATAAATAAACAGTGGGGAAACACAGACCTCACGTCCTGGGCTTATATACTGTATATAAGCATATAAGTGACTCCGAATGCTTCTTGCATCATAGGAGTAAAACTACGTACCGGATCGTGCACTGCAATGCGATGCCTGTTGTTCAGGGTGCTAGATGTCTACCGTGGACGGCGGAACGCACGCAGGAAGGCGGACAGACGTGGTTGAAAGCTGCGGACCCTGAAAATGCCGAGCGCCGAATCGGAGAGAGGCGGAGATTTCACTTCAACTGCACATCGCTTGTTTGCTGATGACGTCATGGCGGTCACGTGACGGCGCGGAGTGTGGGGAGGCCGCTGAGGGGCGGCGCTGACGTCACACGGGGGCGGACCGTTACTGGTGGACACAGGGTCTGTACAGAAATGAAGCAAAATTAATCATACACTGAATACTACCTATTAAAAAGTTCATGCAGGCAGGCAGTTTCGTTGGCCTCTTGGAGGGCGTTAAGACTCTACATTGCATCGACCCTCTTCCGACCGGGACGGGGGCCGACATCGACTTCCAATTACCTTTGACCATTGCCGACGTCACACGTACAGTATAAAGTCCTACGTTTCCCAGAGTCTTTGGGAGCTGACTAAAGCTAACTTCAGATTAGGGGACGGAGAAAAGTCCACCATGAATTCTGATGACGAAAATTGATGTCAAAGACAAAGGAATGAGTTCAATTATTTAACAAGCAACAGCACAGGAACATGAAGTAAAGTATCGTGCACAAATGATGTCAGTATAAAAGTTCATGTTCGAAGGTGTTAGAGTTCTACTTTTGGAGAAGTGCAAAGGAGGCGCCGACAAAATTGATCTCCACCGGGACGGGGGCCGTAATAGACTTCCAACTACCTTTGACCATTGCTGACGTCACTCGTACATACAGTCACGTTTCCTAGAATCTTGTGGAGCTGCATGGCTAAAGCTGGACTCCAGGGTAGAGGACAGAAAAGCTAATCTCCGAGCATACGTTGGCAAGGCAGTATCCATTGGCCAGATCAGCGCGCATTAGGTGACCAATGTACCTCGAAAATCAACCATTGAATCCTACGACGCAAATAAATGTCAAAATGTTGAATTCTATGTACTAAGTGCTTCAACTGACTAAGGTATTGTTAAAGACAAACTTGACTTTTTCAAATCAAATACCATAAGATAGTTCCGAGAAATGCAACTGTCTGGAGAATTTTTAACCTCCTTGGCCGGTTGAAGTAGGTGCACTCAACAGCGACTCCTTGCGAGAAGTGGTGGCAGTGCACAAAATGTGGCAGATGTCTAGACGCTCTTCCACGTCTAAAGGGCTAAAGGATTCGGATTGTGATCGCGACTTTTCTTTTAGATGGTTAGTTTGTCTGGCTCGTCCAATGCATATAGTTGATCCATCCAATGCATAAAAATGATCCATTGATCTGATCCTATAAAATATGATGGTGCGTAGTCTCGCCGCCTCTCTGTCATATTCTTTTTAATAGACTAGCAGCTACCAGGCTTCGGGAGACAGCTGAAAAGAGTAGAAATCATCTGAGGTCAAATAGAGAGATAACATGCACCCGGGTGCGGCAAAATGTACTCTCTAGCGGACCAAGATCCCTGGCATGTTATTTCTCTATTTGACCGCGATTTCTACTCTTTCCAGCCGCCTCCCGAAGCCTGGTGCTAACGTAAGACACGAAGGTCACATCAGGGTTGCGGGCAACTTGAACTAGAAAGTTGCTAAATACTACAATCTTGTAGAACAAGCTCGGGATATCACAACACTTTGTAAAGGACACTAGAGTGAAAAATCCTCGTAAGGCCACCTAAAGCGTGATTCGAGGTTTCAGTTGCATCCGTTGGTCATTGCGTCATCTCAACCTCAGGTGGCTTTATTTAGCCTTTACCAGGCTTCGGGAGGCGGTTGGAAGAGTAGAAATCGGCCAAATAGCAGAATATAGAGAGATAATATGCCAGGGGAGTTTGTCTGCGGGTGCGGCAAAATGTTTTCTCCCCGCAGACAAACTCCCCTGGCATGTTATCTCTCTATTTGGCCGATTTCTACTCTTCCAGCCGCCTCCCGAAGCCTGGTGGAGGCTAGGCTTTATTGACTTTATTCAAAGGTATAGCGACAACAATATATGCGCTGAGTGATGTGTAATGATAGATTAATGAATGTATGAACGAATGAATGAATGAATGAATGAAGGAGCATTTGAATCAACGAACGAACGAACGAACGAATGCATGAAAGGATGAATGAATGAACGAACGAATGAATGAATGAAAGGATGAATGAATGAATGAATGAATGAATGAAGAGATTTATTAGATTTATAGATTTTTTGCAAATCATTCGACCAGTTTTGCTATTATTTCCTTAACCAAAGGTGTCTAGTAGAGGCTAACTTTTTTTTTACAAAGAAGAACAAATATATGAGATTACAAGATCGCGGGTATCAACATTAGATACAGTAGACACAGCTAAAACGTAAAACTTGTATAGTTCACTCTTCAAACTTTTTTGTCTGTCAAAAAGTTTTGGCAAAATTCCGATACATGCGTCACGATAAATACAGGAAGCCATATGCTCCCGTATATTTCCTGCTGTAGCGATGTATACATCCTGTCTGTAGGCAGAACATCCCAGTCAGACAAAATCGTCCAGGAAGTCTTACAAGTGACGTCATCATGTACCGGGGCAAGGGGCGACGGCCCACCCCATGCGCAGTACGGGTGCGCAGTGGCAGTGGCACAACCAAGGACCCAAAGGTGCAACTAAAGTTACAGTTTAAGTTCACTCAAAACATATATCAACACATTCACCTATTAGATAAAAGAAATCAGAATGAATATTTACAAATACCATTATTTTGGCAGAATATAGTTTTTGAGAACTACTTTTTGTCGCAGAAAGATGAGTTGTTTTCTATCATCAGGCAAATAATTGTGCAAACGTTAGTAGTCTCATCAGGCCAAGATGGCGGCAGTACGGGGCTGGGATGAAGTGGAGGAAGATTGGGAGTGATTGCGGGGCTGTTTTGGCGGACTATGGCCCGACTGGCCGACTATTTCATCGTCGTGGGATTCGATCACAATAAAGAGCGTGAGTACCGTGCCTCTCCCGGCGCTGATTCTGTTAAAATTGACCCAATATTGGAGTCGTTTCGCGAAGCGCCGGGTGTATGTGTGACCCATTCGGCGCTCCGCCCTTTAGCAGACGTGTGTAGTTGTCATTTTGGTCATTAAAGTTCAGAGCTGGAAAATATTAGTTTCCGACTGTCAGCGAGGCATTTCGACGCCTTCGATAGCTGTTGATCTCCTTTTGTGAAACATGAAGAGGTCATACTTAACTTTGTTAGCATTGCTTTGCGTAGGTGTAGTGGGTGGTTCTCGATATAATTTTGTAGTTCCCGATTTTTCGTGTGTCACACATTCATGTTATACGTTACACCTACACTTGTTTTCCAACAAACTTCGCCTGTACGTCGCTATACACAATGGGAATAACCCCAGACAAAGCGTTACAGATGCGTCTGTCCCCTCGTCGGTTGATAACTTAGGTAAACATGGTTTTGTTTACGTTTGTGGTGCATTTATCCCACGAAACAAGCTTGGGTATGAATTTTACTGTTCGGTATCGCGATCATGTTCAAAGTGGGTGGAGGGGGAGGGGGGCAAACACACACAGTCACTACATAGTCTTTCGTTCGCTGGCATACTAAGTATGTATTCTTTCCTCTGGTAGATGTGAGACATATCATTTCAGACATCTGAACAAGCTTGTTGATAACGCGTAGGTTTGATTTGAATGACAATGAGTCAGATTTTACGCCCAGTGGGACATTTTGGTGCTCTCAAAACACACTTGTGGAATATCCTGACTTCTGGACACCTGAAAACTGGACTGTTTTTCTGTAAATAAATGTGATTGTTCTCTTTTATAAGACCTATCATAGCCCTTATTTTGTGAGCACTTCTTGTGGTTTTGACCTGGAGAAAATCCTGAATGTTAATACATTTTCAGAGCTAATCATAATTTGTTTTTCCTCAATAATTAATCTCAACAAATTGATGTGTATCAAGGTATCATGGTATGATTTCACACGAAAGAAAAAATGTGAAATGGCGCTAGACAGTGTACAATTGTAAGAGTCAACAGAGTCACATAATTAATCTTCACTAGAACTCACGGGAAAGTAAACGACCACAAATGACCACTTGAAGCTTTTATGTGGTCTTGTGTCATCTTTGCTCAAACTTTCAAAGGCTCTTTATGGTCATTTGATCCCATTGATTGGTATGTAAAGTGTTCAAAAGAAAGAACTCACATCAATCAAACGAGAGGTGTGAAAACATGATTTTCACCTGTTTTGTTCTTGATTTCTATGTCTTAGCCTTTGGCTCTCGAAGATGAAGTTGAGTATAAACTATTGAGACAGGTTTTGTAAACTTTTAGTTTAAATGTGTCTGCCTGTTGTAGCCATTGGTTTGAGATGATTTTATTGAAACATTTTCATTTTATTATGGGTTGTATCATACTTGTATGTGCATTGATATTTGTTTAGTATACCTACTTTTCTTACGTGTGCCAAGAGCAAGTTACTTGTTGAAGTGACCCTATCTTTTCACCATGTAATGCCCAAACATATCAGCACTAGACATTTGTTGAAAGAAGTGTGATGACTCAAGGTGTGAATGTCAATAAACATTGGACTGACTGCAAACCCTGATACATGTAGTTGTAGTTACAACTACACATGATACAAAATGTTTGACTTCTGTAGGTTTGGGAGGGCATCTAGAAGTTTGAGTCATTACTGCAGCTGCCTGACTGGACTGATTGTTCAACCCATTTGGTCATCTTAAATTCAGCTTCTGGATGTACTGTAAATGATACTGCTTAAGCTGTGATTTTATTTCACAATATGATCAAAGGTGAGATTTTTGTGGTCTAAACAATTCTGTTTGTAGAAATACCTTTACCTAGTCCCATCCTCATGTCTGAGGGTTGGGGACTATGGTGGCATCCAGTATCAGCCTCTTCTACCCTCCTATTTCATGTTGCATTGTTCAGTGTACATTTTGTACATGCACGTCAATTTTAAATAAATCTGAGCTGAATTTTTTCTCTGTCTCTGTGAGAGCACTCTGCCAGTGGCATGCCCATCTAGTAGAAATACAAAATGCATATCCGTGGTGTTATGATTTCTTTATTATAACATGTCAACATGAAAACTGGAAAATAAGACCACCGTAATCTCCAAGCAGATCCCTTTCGGGGGCAAAAGACAATATCAAATCGGCAGTATCCATTAGCCAGAGAAGTTCACCGGCCACTGATGGGTGGTGGGGGTAGCGACAAAAAACAAAACGGCCATATTTAAAAAGCTAACGGTCATTCCCCCACAACTTTGCTTGGAGAGTATGACCATCGTGCATTTTGCAGTATGCGACATTGCCTTGGTCATCCGTAGCCTATAAAATGAGCATCTGCAGCCCTTCCTGCATGTATGTGTTAGTCCTGATGCCCTTTTCCTGTCCAAATACTTGACCCATATTCCCAGACTTCACCAGTAGGCTGGCTGACCTGGAGTGACCCTGACCACGCCCTAGCTATCCTATAGCACACACATACATACTGTGGATGTTGACAGGGTGAACATACATGACGTGTACAACTACAAGTACCCAGATGCAAATACATGTTATCGAAGCAGAGTTTAGGCATGTTTTTTGGGCATTTTGTTTGGCTTTCCATTTTGTCAGCTTTTCTTCGGGATAATCCTGGCCAAACCCAAAGACAGGCGGACAATATAGAAAGCCGGGGTTTTTCTAAACAGGGGAATAAGGGAGCTGCTCCCTCATGTAACCAGCCAGCTCCCTCATACCAATTTTCATATTGAACCCTTCTGAGTGTTACACTTATTAAAAAATCCCCCCTCGGTCACTTTGTTCCTTACCATGCTTGCGATCTGCTCCCTCATGCTAAATTTTTCTAGAAAAACCCCTGGAAAGTGTAGCAAGATGCCTAAAAATCTTGTTTGTTTGATTGTTTGTTTGTTTATTTTATATGACTGGTAAATAGTCTTTAGGTGTAACAGCAGTTTTGTATACTTTAGTACAAGCTGCATTTATAAGTGAGGAAGTAGGCATAACATGTCTTTCCTACTCCTAGGGTGCATCATTGGCCCCGATTTCATCATCCCAAATCATTTGAGATTGTCCCAAAGTTTTTGTTATCTCTGAGAAGTCCCACAGTGCTGTAGGACCTAATTGTTCTGACCCCATGTTGTTTACCTGTAACGACATACCAAAGGTGTAGAGTCAGGTAGTTTGGTTGGCTACACCTGAGCAGGCCCACCAGCGAACTCTCACCCTACGAGCCTTGGAAAAAAATGTTGTGTTTCCTGTTTCAGTCCTGAAAAAAATTTGGGTCGGTAGGTAGTTTTTTTTTCTTTTTATCTTTTTTTTTTTAAAGACTTCAGTGATATCTACTAGTAGTATATAGTGATCAAACTTGTACAATACAGTTTGATAAAGTAAAACTTGCATGATGACACATAGAGTTTCAATGTCAATGTTTGAAAACCGATTGTACAACGTTTCATCACTCAGGAGTCAGATCTCGGATCATGGAGCTAGAAAAGGTTGATCAGCTTGAAAAAAAAGTATTGTATAAATGTCCTTTGCAGGGGTCCACCCCCCAAAAAAGTCTAGGGTCAGTTTTTTCTAGAGTTGGTCGGGAAACAGGAAACACAATATTATTTCCCTAGGCCCCACGAGCCCTGCTATGTGTCTGTCTGTTGTGTACCCACACTGGACCAGGATTTACTCCTAGATAAATCTACTGGACATCCGCCAAACATAACAACCTACAACAATGCACGGACACTCCAGGGCTCCAAATACCACTTGTGCATGTACTATAATGTAGGTTAGGACAGGTAAAATTGGAGCTGCGATGTATTTCTGATGCCTGCACTGATCCATACATGATAATAAGTTAAAACTGCAACATTATATAGTACATGTATACTGCCAGTATTACTATTAGGTGATATATCATATAGCACACAGTGTTCTCGTCAGGCCTTTTGAGCATAGGGGCCCCCTATGCTGTAAATTGTACCCCCTATGCTGTGATTTGGACCCCTATGCTGTCTTTCAACCAGCATAGGGGTGTCTTTTCTGGAAGAACTTTCATGAATCATGAAAAAGATGAAAATATGACATTAGAATTAGGCTGTAGCAATGGGAAAACCTTAACTTCACAAAATCTCTCCCTCCATAAGTGAGAAATAGTGTCTCAGGGGGTTATGAGTGTCAATTTTTTTGGCCCAATGCACGACTTGCGCTGCAAAAGTTGCCTTTCTGTACCTGACCCCTATGCTGTGAAAAAATCCTGGTGAGAACCCTGGCACATATCCTATATGCCCTGCAGTTTTCATGGTAGAATCCTTTGATACAACAACTTACAAGATTCAAAATGGTACTAAGTACTGGGAACATCTTTAGAGAATGGTGTGTGCAGGTAACATTTACCTTGTGCAGGTGTTTTTTGGTTGTTACTTGCACCAGTGCAGGTATGCAGAATGAAAAACCTATTTCTGTATTTGTATAGCCAATATAAAAAGCCTTTCGGCACACCAGCTTTTGTATCTGTATAGCCGGTATAACCGCCTTTTGGCATAACACACCAGCTTCTGTATCTGTATAGCCAGTATAACCGCCCTTCGGCATAACACACCAGCTTCTGTATCTGTATACTGTATAGCCAGTTATAACTGCCTTTCGGCATAACACACCAGCTATTTTGAGCCCTGCACACCAATTTACCAAATGCATGTCTTGGCAGTACAAGTAGGAAGATCCGTAATGTAATTAGGAAGAGGGGATCCAGGGTAAGTATGTTGCATAGAAAATTGGACGGGCTGGGTGTAATGTATTACGGTCGTGCTCAGATATGAATATTGTCAAATTAGTCTTTTTTTTTTTCAAAGTGCAGGACGGTATGTCGTGGCTATTCAGTCTTGCAATTGCCATCTCACATTATTACAGATATGCCATGTTAACTCGTGCACTGGTGTACCCAACCTAGAAAAA